CTCAAAATCAACCAAACACATTAACATCCAAACCATGATTTACTTAACGTGCCAACATGGTTTTGTACTGGTAGTGATTGTATCATTGAAATCAGTCAGCTCCAACCTGCTGAGATTGTTCAGGTTCCGCAATGGTGGAGAAGGTAGATCAGGCAGGGAGCGACAAACTTTCGTCCTTCGAACGCTCGACAGAAGTACAAAAAGATGTTGCGTGACTGCATTTTTTCTTTGAACGCCTGTCCAGTACTGGTTGATTTAATACGATCAATGATATCAAGTAGCAATTGATGTTAGTCACATTTAAAGATATTAAATCTAATTAAATCTAGTTAATCAATGGCATTTAGAGATATTAAATCTAATTAAATCTAGTTAGTCAATGGCATTTAGAGATATTAAATCTAATTAAATCTAGTTAATCAATGGCATTTAGAGATATTAAATCTAATTAAATCTAGTTAATCAATGGCATTTAGAGATATTAATTCTAACTAAATCTAGTTAATCAATGTCAATCACATTTTAACCACCGCGAAGTAAAACTTGAATCAAATCCCGAGATGTCGAGGCTCGTAAAGGCGCCCGCGCTCTGAGCACAGGTCAGCCGGGAGATTGGGGATCAACCGAGAACAGGAATCCGTTTGTTTTTTTTGCACATGATATAGAGTATTTTGATATACTGTGTATAATATATATATATTATAGATGATATGGCTGATATAAGTTAATACTATATTGTATATATTCTAGATGATATGGTTAATATAAATTAATACTCTCATATACTATCTATGTTGGTATGATGTCTTCTGATATAAAGTATCAACAGCCAGCATTTTTCTGCGCGAGTCGAGGCTCACAGGTTGGATGGGCTGTAAAGCTCGCAGTGCTGGGTGGCATGTGGCCTGGAACCCCAGCGGTTCGCCGTTGAGTTGTCTACTGTTGGTGGTGATGATGATTGATGATTATGATTACCCTCTGGTTATTTAACATAGCCATGGAACATGGCCCATTTATAGATGGTTTACCTTAAAAAAATGGTGATTTTCCATGGCTGTGTTAAATAACCAGATGGTATCTGATTAGAACCATTATCTCATTATCTGGTGGTGAGCAAATTGGGGTATCTACGTGATTATGAATATTATCTGATTATGATGATTTTTGCTCATGAGCCCCAATTTTCAGAAATAGTTATCCTGGTAGAATACACAGAATCACAGATATACCCAAGTTTTGGACAAACTCAGAGGATTTCCCTCTAACAGGTGAGGAAATTCCAACTACAACCAACATCTCAGGCCCTGGCAAGACGATGCATCTGTTGTCTTGATGAATAGATCAATAAAGAGAAATACATCAGACAGACCTTTCTATAACATGATATACTGTATATATTATATAGTATATATATATATTATATTATATATTATATATATTATATATACTATATATATTATATATATTATATATATATTATATTATATATATTATATATTATATATATTATATATATTATATATATTATATATATTATATATATTATATATATTATATATTATATATATATATTATATTTTATATATTATATTATATTATATATTATATATATTATATTATATTATATATAATATATATAATATATATAATATATATATTATATAATATATAGTATAATATAATATATATATATAGTATATAATATATATATAATATATATATATATATATATATTATATTTAATATATAATATATACAATATGCAGCGGCAAACCCATCGCAAAAGATCCGGATTCGAGTGCAGCTTTGATGCTCTTCTGACAGGTATATAGTAATAATTTTATGTATGGTATGTAAATGTTTAAATATATATATATATATGTATATATATATACACATACACACGTGTATGTGCGTATGTGTGCAAATGTCTCTCCTTGAGATACAGCTATGTATATAATATATATATATAAGTGTATGCATAAATATTGCATCATTGATGTCAATGATGTCTTCTCCTGCTATAGGTGCTCACGTCGCTTACGAAGTTTTCTTGCATCTTCAAGTTGTCCAGTTTTGGCTCAAGCAGGCAATTCTGCTTCTGCCAAAAGTGCCATGTCTACGCCTTGGCGTTCTTCACCGTGGGGAGACCTCTCGCCAACCGCGAGGGCAGAGGGTCAGCCAAACCTGCATCCGGACGCGCCGCGGCATTTGTTTTTCGGAGGGCAACCAGATGCAACCGCGCAGCACCAGCCAGAACCGAGCGCTCCAGAACCAGACCTCGAACCCGTGGAGCCACTGGAGCAAACTGAGGAAGACCAACAACAACACCAGCAGCAGCAGCAGCAGCAGCAGCCAACTGGACCCACTGGACCCGCAGCTCTTGGACCTGCAACAGCTCCTGCCGCAGCAGCTGCACCAGCAGCTATTTTGCATCGTGCTTGCCGAACAGCCACCGCAGTCGCCGCTGCCGCCGGAAGAGCAGCAGCAACAGCAGCAAGAGCAACAGGACCGAAATCTGCAAGAGCTGCCGCCGGAAGGGCAACAACAGATTCAAGGCGTCCTCCGCCCAGACCCAGATTGGCCAGCATGCCAATTAGGACCGCTTTGCGACTACCGCAGGCCGGCCCTACCTGACGAGCTGCACCAGGAAGGGCTCAACTTCATCGGCTGGGTCATCGAGGGCATTATCAGGCCGCCAGAATGGCAACTGCAGTTATTCCTGCTGACCTGGCAACTTTCACTTCGAGAACGTCTCTTTCGGTTCCGCCTCCCCTACGCCATGGCCTTGGCCATCTTCGGCTCCCGGTTCTGCTAATCGATGAACAGCTCGATTTTTTGTCGGATTTATCACAAGGACCGAAATCGGCACGGCAAAGACAGAAAATGAAAACTGCGAGCGGCCACGGAAGAAAAGAAAACAGGTTTCTGACATTCCCACATATGTTTGTCAAATGCTTCGTGCTTCCAGCAGAATCAAATGTTTTCCTTTCGTGGTTTGCATCCCCTGTGTCAGGAGCCGTCGTCCTGTACAGTCAGTCCCAACGAGAGCAGCAACCTTCCCAGCGTGCCGAAAGAAGGTCCAAAGCTGCTTCAGAGGCAACAGCCGGCCAGCATGAGAAAAAGAAAGCATCAAAAAAGGTACCGTTGCTGCAAAAGCCGTCGCTAAGGATCAACCCTAGCAGCAGCATTTGTGTTGCAATTGGCTGTTTGAACAGAAGCCTCTTCTACACAAGTACAATGTCTTACAGAAAGGACAATTCAAACTTGAATAATTATCTGCATCGATGTTATATCTATAATCTATATGTAGATTTTTAAATATACATATGTATATATATATAAAAGTACATATATTTGTTTTGTGTAAATATAAATGTATATTTATATGTATATAAGTGTCAACCTATCTATAGTAGTATGACACCCATGCTTTCGTCTGTGTGCCAAGAAGAGACAGAGAACCTTAATTCTCTTCCTGCCTTGCCGCAGCCCCTTTCTCTGAACAGGCCTCCAAGACCGATAATTACTCGCGCTGTTGAACCTCGAGCACTGCATGGCCGCAGCTGCATGGCAACTTTCGACTGCAGAGGAGCTCATCTTGGAATTCCTCGGCTGGCTTCCTGCTCGTGCCCTTCGCTGCAGGCACAGGGCTACCCGCACGGACACCGCCGCCGCCATGTTCCGACGCCACCTGCATGACCTGCAAGGCGTCAATCCACCTTTGACATTGACGCACGAAGATCTGGCAAGATGGCTTTGGCGTGCCACCTGCGGGCTGCTCCGTCGCCACGAGTCGCCGCCCGGAGCCAACCTGCGTTGACCGCAAGCCCTGGGCAGCGCAGGCGTCCGTGACGTGGTGGTCCGCTTCCACAGCCGCGGCCCCTGGTATACAATGCGGCAGCAGCGACTGCCGTTGAAAGGGGCGACCTGATGCGAGTCTTCCCACAGCCAACGTTTGCCGGTGCGCTCCATCTCCTGTACCGCCACGGGAATCATTTCATGCACCGACACACTACAACACTGCACAGGGCAAGCAGAGTCCACTGCATACTGACCGAAATCTTTGCATTGGATTGCGCCTTCGCCGGCTTCGAAGTCTCCCTCCGGATGACCTTTCGCACCGTGGTCCCTGCTGCCTGAATAATTATCGAGGGCCTCTGGCATTTCATCGGCGAAGCAGTGAGGAGGCAGTGAGGACGAGCCTTGAAATTGCGATGCACGCAGCGTGCTCACAGAAGAAACGACCCATCAGATGTTTGTACAGTTTTCTTTTAGCGAGATGAGTGACAACGACACCGACCGTCACTGCACAGCTTCCTGCAACCCGCAGGCGCACGGTCGCGCGGAGAAGGAAAAGCATGCAGAGCACAGGGAAAGAGAGGATGTAAAAAAAGCGCGCTCTCTTTACTTGCACCTGCACCGCTTCATTGCATTATATATATATTGAAAGTATCCAGGTAGTATAAACACTCATAAATACTTTTTGGGCCAAACTGACCCAAAACTGTGGCTAAAGGGATGGTAAAACCTCCGGCAGAAGGGCCGGCGCAACTCAAGAAACCCGATTTCTTGGGTTTTGTGGCCGGCAAACTTAGCGGCAGAACCTGTGGTTAACTCTGTGGGAACGAAAAGCCATGGCATTTGTGCCGGCACGTCGTATGGCAGAGCATCCGAAGCAGTGATGGACAAGCAAAATTAGGGGCAAATGTGCCGGCAAGAGGCCCGGCAAAGCGCGCGAACTAGCTCTGGCCAAGCCAAATACACGGACATTTTCAACGGCAAATGTGTTCAATGCAAAAGATGAAAGTTGGTACATGTTGGTACGTTTCAATGTGGAAAAGCTGAACAATGAAAATCTCTATTGCATCCCCCTCTGCATGGGGTCCCAGCAAAAAAAGATCTGCTACTCCACCAGGGAAGCAATCTTATTGGTGTTTTTTTCCATGAGCTGACTTGCACAATGTCCGGGCATTTGCAAAAACCGCTTCTTTGACTTTGATTGCCGCAACCTTGGCAAACGCCTGGCAAGAACCTTGCACAATCCTAGCAATAGATTGAAGGGTGAGTCGGGAGCAGGAACCTTGTTGGCGGAAACCCGGCAAAACCCGGCGGAACTGAACTGGCAAAGCCTGGAACCCAGCGGAACCTAGCGGCACCCGGCGGAGCGGCAGAACCCAGCGGAACCCGGCGGAACCCGGCGGAAACCTGGCGGAAACCTGGCGGAACCTGGCGGAAAAAAAGTAAGTTGAAGGGGGGGGTGGTTGGGAGTATAAACCATGCCAAAAATTATACTCCCAACCACCCCCCCCTTCAACTTACTTTTTTTCCGCCGGATTCCGCCAGGTTTCCGCCAGGTTTCCGCCGGGTTCCGCCAGGTTGCGCCGGGTTCCGCCAGGTTTCGCCGGGTTTTGGTAGGTTCCTGGCGGGTTTCCACCAGCCTCGGGCTTCTGCAAGGTTAGCACGAAGCCGTCAGGTTTGCGTCAAGTTCTTATTCCCAAGTTTCTGCCAAGCCCCCACCGTCTCCAGCGCAAGACCCGTCACAACTAGTCACAATTTAAGCGTTCTTTTTCCAAAACAGTTTTCAGCTGAATTGTCAGCTCAGCACTGATTGCCTGAGGGGCGGCGGCTGCTTGAGCAGCTTTGCTCTGAAATCAAGGTCCACGCAACCAACTTGTCCAGTCCAATGCGCGGCGCTGGACGCTGGAGACCTTTAACCGTCAGCTTGGCAGGCGCTAAGAGCGATAATGAAAACCCGGTATGCACCTGGTGTCTTGAAGTAGTGCCGGGCGCATTCCAACTTGGAAGCAAATAATGATAAATAATTTATGGTGGTGCCAGGTTGTGCCTTTTGAGGCAACATTTCTACTCGTTTGTCGTTTGCTGCTCTTTTTTGCCTCGCATTTTTGCTCTTGACCGGCACGTTGCCGCCTAGTTTGCCGGGGGTTCGGCCGCCTGCTTGGCCAGGGCCGAAACCACGATTTTCATCTTGTTTCTGGGGAGTGTTTATACTCCCAGGCTTACTCCAATATATATATATATTATTTTGCTGGCATTGGTAGGAAATCAGAAGAATAGCTCCTGAGAATCAGCCTCCTCAGCCTTGGTCGTGTCGTTTGCACTGCACTGGCCAAAGATAACTTTTTGTTTTGGGCTTCTGAATGTGATTGCATACCGCAGCCGTTTCCAAGTTCAGCCAAATGAGAAGTAGGTTTCAGAAGATAGACAGCAGCCATGGGACGCCAAGTTCTAAATTATATATAATATATATTATATATATTATATATGATAAATGTTATATATATATATATATTATATATTAAAACTATTATATATATATATATATTATATGATATATATATTATTTGATATATATATATATATTATTTGATATATATATATATATGTATGTATGTATGTATATTATATTATACGTACCTTTGAATTGTTCGATGGGATACCAAACATATCATGTGACCAGACTCCTGGAACTGCGGCGGAATCTTCAGGCTGACCCTCTACCTGATCCACTTGCAGATTGGAGATGCTAAAGAAATCAAAAGGCCACCTGGGGGTTCCGCTTGAAATCGGGGGCCCCAAGATGCCCCAAGGTATCATCAAAAATCGTTCGTTTTTAATGAGGAAGCCACGGGAAACCATTGGTTTTGGGGTACCACAAGTCTCGGAAATACCAGCTTGTCTTGCGGTGCAGCTGAGTCATTGCAATCGGACAGCCCGTGATAGTACGATGGTATCGAAGCGAATGTGTGTCAAGCTTTCCGGATCGAACAGACAGTCCTCCGTTGTCCATTGCTGAGTATCCACCATTATTGCTGGTTAGTGCTGGTTAGTGATCAGTGCTGCTTAGTTCTGCTGAATGCTGATTGTACATGATTGTACTATGTTTCCTTTTCTTCTTTCTGGCTCTTGGTATATATATATATGTACGTATCTTTGCTATATCATGTCCATACACATCATCTACACATACATCATCATACATCTATGGATATCTTATGATATATTCCATACACATCATATCACATCACTATATTCTCTATATATTCTCTATATATTCTCTATATCCCCATGGAATATATGTTCCTTTTTTTCAGCCGCTCCATCTCGCAGCTCCAGGTTTGATCCCTTCGAAATTTTGGAAGTTAGCCCCGGCGCTTCAGCTGCGGAGGTGAAGAAGGCGCCAACACTTTTTTTGGGGGTTTCTGGGGATGGGGCACATGGGGAAATTCTGGAGAAAATGATGGATTTATGATGATTTGACTATTTTGGAAGTAATTAATTATGGGAACATGATGATTGAAGTATCCATATTTTGGAAGTAGGTTATTTTCAGAGATGCCCACATGGGGTTATTAAGAGATGTGATCACCGCTATAAGGGTTTAGAAACTCTTTTCGAGACCGTACTTTGCTGAGTTTTCCAGAGGGGATAATTGCGAGGTTCTGGCAAGCACTACAGCTGGCGAGATATTGCATACTAAGACTTGAAGCTATGAAAAATTATGACATTTGCGCTCCCCAATTCAAGATTTGGCCAGTCCAGTTTAGCTGGAGGCATTCTTGTTGAGATCTTTGATGATGGGATTGTATTGGATGTGTAACTGCCAACAACGTGTAGTGGCAATCCATCCTGGTGCTGGAGTATCAACCAATGATCATATGGAGGTTTCCATAGTCATGGGGCTACCCCTTTATCGCTGGATGGTTTATTTCATGGAAAACCCCAATCGAACATGCGATGGATTTGGGGGTACCCCTATTTATGGAACATGGAACCCCCCCATTTGTCATCCATGGACGAGTGCCCCAGGCCTATAGACAGCTCTCCTTGAAGTACCATCCGGACAAGAATCCTGATGACCCCTTGGCTGCGTCTCGCTTCATGCAGATCACCAAGGCGCGCTCTGAAGGGATTGGCACATGGCACATTCTTGGGGGTTCCCATGGTTTACCCATGGTTTAAGGGCGTGGGATGATGTTATATGAGTTACTGTATATGATTTTATGATATTTAGTGTTTATGGTTGTGGTTGTTCATGATGGTCCACAATCATTTGATGATGGTTCATTATGCCTCATATGACTCATATGTGATGTTGTTTTGTTTGTTTTTAACTATATCTTTTGGCAGCGGGGCTCCAATGAAGGAATGGACGTGCTGCAGTTGAACTTGGAGGATAGAAGATGCTCAAATCGAATGTACCATTGAGATTCATTTTGGGTATATCAAACGTAACATATCTAAGTGGATATGTAGCATGACAGAACTTGGAAGAATTCCAAAGATCCACAACATGACAAAATTGCTCCAGCTGTCTTTGAACAATTGTTGTCGAAAAATCCAACCGTTCAACGGCTGCCGTTCTTTTGAAGAAAGCCAGGCCCACAATGCTTTGACAGATGAGACGGCCAAAGCCAACTACGAGAAGTGAGATAGCCGTGGTGAAAGCCATGGGATAGCCTTGGTACATAATCATTACCGTCATTATAAAGATTACAATGGGATTATCATGGTTATATAATGATGGTTAATGCTGGTGAACGATGGTGAATGATAGTGGTTAATGATAGTTATTACCATCTGGTTATGACTAACAGTGTCCCATGGAAAGATCCACCCATTTTTGACAGGTAAACCATCTATTTCCATGGGCCATGGCTTCCATGGCTATGTTCAATAACCAGATGGGATAATTATGATATACAACATACTGATATGTTTTGGGTGTGTTTGAAATTGGGTATAACCCAATGAAGAATTTATAATGAGGAAAAGGATGAGAAACTAGTGGATTTGGGGGTTTTCCAATAATTTTCAGGCAAGTCCACATGTCGTTTCGTTTTGGCTCTAAGTCGTTGGTAACGCACTGACAATTCAATCAGCAGAACAGCAAGTGAGTGTCCTGGTTCATTCTCAAGTGTAAGGTTAGTGACCATCCAAACAAATGGACAGAAACATGTAGAAACTAGCCAAGCTGTTGAGTCAGTTTTGGACGGACAGACAAGGTCTCATACCCTCTTGAATGATCATGAATGAGGGTACGGGTACAAACCACACCGGCAATCAAACATAGCAATAGATAGTGATTTTTCCCAATAAATCTTCATCTATTGGGGATTTTCCAGCAAGCCATGTTTGATTACCAGAGGGTATATAATATGCACAGTAGGTTTCTTTTCGATCCCAACAGTATTCAGTTGCGATCCCAATAGACTTCCGACTTCCCCATATTTTTCGGACCCGCCATGAACTTTCCTCCCTGACACCAAATGAGCTTTGAGACTGCTTGTAGAAAGGGATTCGGAAGGTTTGCCAGATTTACAGTAGGTGTTTTCTTGGTTTTGGAACCCATCCTGGTTGTTATCCCAGTATTTGCCGGGCCTGACATATTTCACAATATCCTCATATGCCCATAATATCTCCATAATTGATATCCCAACAATATCCCCTTTCCAAATCTCCATAGAAATCCCCCATAAGGAATCCCCGAATCGTGTCCCCGACATCAACATGGCGGGTCGTTCCCAAGTGACATGGTGTTTTCACTCACCAGGTACGGCAACCCCGATGGCCCCCAGACCTCTAAAGTTGGCATTGGACTGTCGATCCCTCAGAGGTCTGATGGGCCACGGTCCAAAATGATGTCCCAAAGTGGCCATCAAAGATGGGGTATACGTGAGTGTTTGTTCAAAAATGGAAGAAATTACATTATGAAAAAATATGAAAAAATGGAGAGAGTCCCCAAATAGCCCCATTTTTCCAGATGGAAAAATGGGGGCCCCCAAATAGGGGGCTTTTCTGAAAAATGATCCCCTTTTTTCCTGGCGTTGTTTTTTCAAAATTGATGGTTTTTCCTATGACGGGCCGACGGGGGATGGGACATCTGTGCAGCTTTCGGGCCCCAAGGCCTCGATTTTTATTGGAGAAGGAGAATCACCTGGCACTCCTGACATCTTTGGACAGGAAGCGATTGAGGTACCTGCCATAGAGGTCTAAGGGCTGCGTTTTACGGGGATATACCATGATATACCTCCCAAATATGGCTTTGTATTATGGCACTGTAGTTGAGTAGTCAGTACTTCTTGCGTTTGCCGCCAGATGATTTTGTGCCTTTTCTTCTTCCTCTTGCTTTTCGTTGGAGCCTCAGTGACAGATGGTTTGGGCAAAACACAAGAGGATGATTACCTGATTAAACCAAAGTTTCATGGTTGATCATCCCTTTCTGCATAAACACATCCATATTCTAAAATATTATAGATTTGTTGTGAGGCAAAAGCAATATGAGCTGTGCCACTGCAGCCATCACTGCCCACTTTGACACCCTGAGGTGGTCCCTATGGCCTTCATTTGCTACTACCAAAGGAGCCCTGGTAGGAAGTTACCATTGACGTTGGACTCAAAGATGGGATGACCGTGGAAAACAAAACCTGTGAGTTATAAAAATTTGGCACAACAACAATTAGGTCCGAAAGATTTTGAATCATAGCACACTGAATCTTGATTGTGGTTGGTTTCTAGTCACTTCTAGTCTTCATGCACGTCCCTGCTTGGAATCCCTTCTTGGAATGGATACTGTACTCCAATTTGACAATCGAATAGTGTTATCTAATCATGTTGTCAGCGGTTGGAACCGCCAACAAACCGTACTTGAGGGGATTGTCCAATCTTGAGACACAAACACCTTCCACTCGAACCTCCTTGACGCGTGCATCCTGTGAGGACGAAGAACTACGCTGCAAACGGCGTGATGATCGAAACCCTGCAATTCATGGGGTGCCCGCCGGAGCATACCCATGCTGTAGAACCTTCCCCTGTTTTCCCCAGATGATGTCATACATTGGTTGTGCTTCCATAGAGAAACAGCGTGTCAAATGATAGGACGGACAGGTGACGGGTCTGGTTTTCACACATGTTTTCAACCCTTTACCCTGCAAATATGCACCCAAAAAGACAAAAAAAAGATAGACAAGTAATGTATTGCTATTTGAGTTGGATTTTCCATTGATTTTCCTATGTTTTTTGGGTTGAACCCCAGGCCCGATTCTTGTGGGTTCAGAGGCCATCCAGGGGCTTGAGCCAGGTACTACATCAACGAGGCGACACGCCTCAAGAATTGTCCCGAGCTCTTGGCTGCCTCGGCCGAAAGCAGGACTGGCAGTTGCTGGGGCGTTGATGAGCTGTCCCCTGACGGGATGCTTCATGTGGAAAAAAATGCAAATATTGAGATCGGATGAGCACTGTGGCTTGATGGGCTTTTTCAAGTACCAAGATGGCTCACAACCAGCTCTTCATGCCCTGTTTCATCTACAACACTTCCAAAACGAAGTTGTTTTTTGTCAAACCATTCATCAGTTTGGTTTGGGATTCAATGATCTGTCTCCAGCAGAAAAACCATCTCCAGGGGCATGGCATTGAGACCTTCCGACAACGAAGAGCTCAAGACGCCCGGGCCTCGCCGGGCCTCGCCGGGCCTCGGTTGCGGTGAACTGTGCCATCAGCGGCGCAACGGGAACCGAGGCTTGGAGCTCAAGTGACGGAGCACAAGAAGCGACAGTTCAAGCTGCCCATCATCATCAAGTGCGCTGATTCCAAGGGATTCTAAGGGATGGCCGGCATAAAAGTCACGGGAAGCTGGGTTTTTTGGGAAATCTGTTGTGGTTGAAGTTGGAATGACTGGAATGATTGGAAGAGCTGTTTTTATTTTTTATTTTCTGGTGAGTCCTAGATATACCCAACAATCTGGATGGAAGTTGAAATAGCGCCAAACTGGGGGGGATGTTGGTAGCTGTGAGGAGGGAACAGAACCACCTACTGTGTTTTGACTGCTCGAAGGCAGGTTTGACATGTCTGCGAACGACACCCCACCCCTTTGGTGGGCAGAGAGCACACACAGAATTGTCCTTGGAATGGTTGAACATGGTTTAAACTATATATATAACATATATATATGTATATATATATATATAACATATATATGTATATATATAACATATATATATCTACTTATATATATATATATCTACTTATATTATATATAATTATATATAACCTAGTGAATCAAGAAACACCTGGCATGACCCCATAGTATCCCAAGCAAGCTTGTGTTGTCGCTGAAGGAATGACATCATTCTCTTGGCGCACATGCAGCGGCTGCACCACTTGATGTCACCATCTCTCCGTGAAGATCTGGATGAGATCTTGAGGATGGTCCGGGTGCTGCTGGTGGTTGGATGAAGGGGTGGCAACTTTCTTTTTGAGGAGACCAGTTGAGGATGATTAGTTGAGATGTGCAACATGATTATATATAATGGATATAATAGTAGGTGATTGAAATGTGGTCTTCTCATGTTAGCAATGTATTGCCACATGTAGGACGTGAGCCGTTCATGATGTTTTCTCTTATGGGAGTTCTAAAATCATGAGATCCGATGGCCTTCTGAATGCATCGGAAGGCATTCACTGAAGATTTCGCAAGCGATGATTGAAATCGCCTGCATGCGAGAGTGGTCTGTGGCCTCAGTGGTTCATTTCGTGGGTCTGGGACCAGAAAGTTGGCCCCGGGATCGGGTGGTCGGAATTGACTGAGGGATGCAATTCACAAAGCATTCGTCAGAAACATTGATTAGATCATATTATGATCACTGAACATGGCTTTGTTTGAAAATGGGGTATGCCTTCTAAATGATTCTGGCCATTTCATAGGGGACAAGATGATTGACCAATGGATTTCGAGGTACCATATTTTCAGACAAAAGCCATATAATGTGGGTGAACAAATACCATAAACAATCTCCCAAATCACCATTTTTATAGGTGGTATAAACCATTCCCAAATGGGTGGTTTATGGCATTGTTTTACCCCATTACTTTGGCCTCAGCAGACTGTCTCTCATGGCGCCGCTTCAGGTTCTTCACAGCTCAAGCCATGATCGAATTCCGGCGGTCCTTGATTCAGGCACGCCTTTTGATGGGAACTGGGTGTGGAGGGAAGTTGTAGGTGCCCTGATTCTGTGAGCAGCAGGTCTCAAGCTCTCGGTTAGGATCTTCTTTACCTTGGAAATCCTAGGCATGAACATCTTAGACATTCTTAGACATTCTAAGACATTCTTAGACATTCTTAGACATTCTTAGACAATTTGGTGTCCCAAAACTTCAAAAAAACACCCAAGGGAGGTGTTGAATCCCAACGGTGGAGGCCTTGGATGTGAAGAGTTCGCAACTGCTGCAGATCCCTCATTTCAATGATGAGATCCTGAAGTCGGGCCCCTGCGATGACTGCAACATACTGCAACAACTTCCAACCAAAAACCAAAGCAGAAACACCGGCAGTGACGATCACGTTCATTCAGATACTTGTGTGTGGGCGTAGACGAAAAAGAATCACAAGATTGCAAATTGTCAAGAGGGCTCACCGTGCATTTGAACCTGGCTAGTTCCATGATGAGGGACGTCAACATTTTGTTTGGCACTTCCTCCCTGATTTCCTCACCGCAGTAGTGTAAGGCACTGCCTTAAAGGCAAGAATGCGGCCATGAACTCGGAACAGAAAACTGATAAATTCTTTGCGTCTAGTAGCTTGATGGAATTTCTTAGCAAATCAGCCGCGGGTAGCAGTTGTGCATCCCCGATTTTGATTGATTGTTGCAGGATGTGTCTAAGAATTGGGACGTGCCATTTTGAATCTTTTGAATGTACCCATTGGTTCTTGCGACGCAACCAAGACCTCGACCTTGGCAGACTATTTGCAGAAGGACCCAGAGCAGAGGAAGGCGATGCGGCCCACTGGAACTTCACCAGTAAACGGAAAGATGGAGAAGTAAAGCACTATGAAAACTGGTATGGACCCACCTATTCTTTTGGGACCCATATTTGAATATATATATATATTGAATCTATAGACCCAATTGTTTGCTCCTTAGATTTGTTGCTTCGTTTATATCATGTGATGGTTGCAGTCGGGATGTGGTGCCTGGCAGGGCCTTTCCTCCATGACCGCTGACCAGATTGCAGACGTCGAGGCCGGGGGTCCCTGGGGGCCTGGGGGCCTGGGGCAGTCCTTGAAATCAAGGACTGAACGGTTCATTTTACTCCGGCTGTGGCCCTAAGAATCTGCTTCGAATCGTTCAAAGGATTTGACATGATTTGACATGATTTGACAAATGATTGCACATGTTCTAATGGATAAATGATTGCAAATGTGCTAATGTTCTAGAAGGAATCTTGAACATTTCAACCAAGAATGAGTTTCGGGGCTCTCCAGCTTGCGACATTTTGCATGCCCCCTGCCCCCCTCAGGCTTTTGCCAGTCACTGCAGCAACATGGAGTGCAAGGCGATCACAGAGGCTGCTTGGTTGCGTTTGATGGCGAAGCATGGGTGACTGACCATGGCTGATCGGCCTCTGAAATTGGGGACCTACTACATTCGCCACAGCACATGGTATGATTCATCCCTTGAGGTCGAAGATGAGAAAGAGATTGTGGTGGGCGACATTGCCACCGTGACCGTCCAATTGCTGTGCGCTTCCTGAGTGAATCGTCATCGATGTCACATATTGGAGGTTTCCAAAAATGGGAGTACCCCATATCATCCCATTATCATCCCAAGTTAGATCATTTTAGTATTGAAACCCATGGTCTTCGGATGCTTTGGGGGTCCCTCATTTTAAGACACTTCCCCACAGTGCCATAATTTCTGTGTCCAAATCGCATCACAAGGCGCAAGAACTTGCACGAGGGCGAGGCCTGGGTGTGGGAAAACGCAGGTGTTTTGCAGGGAGTACTCCCAAAAAAATGGAGGAACACCCAACATTTCTCCGACAATTCAGAGACATTTACATCTGGAGGGCATTTTTTTTTTGTGTGTGTTTTCCAGCCTGGCTTTGTGGCTTTTGTGGCGTCTGTGGCTGCTGTGGCTTTTGTGGGTGTGTGGCTTTTGTGGCTTTACCATGCTTTACCTATCTATCTATCTAATCTAATCTAACCTAATCTAACCTAATCTAATCTTATCTAATTTATCTAATCTATCTATCAAATCTTATCTAATCTTAATCGTATCTAATCTTAATCTAATCTAATCTATTCTAATCTAATCTAATCTAATCCTATCTAATCTTATCTAATTTATCTAATCTTATCTAATTTATCAAATGTATCTATCAAATCTTATCTAATTTATCAAATGTATCTATCAAATCTTATCTAATCTTGTCTCATCTTATCTAATCTGATCTAATCTGATCTAATCTGATCCAATCTGATCTAATCTGATCCAATCTGATCTAATCTGGTCCAATCTTATCTAATCTTATCTAATCTTATCTAATCTTATCTAATCTTTTCTAATCTTATGTAATCCGATCTAATCCGATCTAATCCGATCTAATCTTATCCTGTCTGCCTGTCTGCCTGTCTGCCTGTCTGCCTGTCTGCCTGTCTGCCTGTCTGCCTGTCTGCCTGTCTGCCTGC